CTTCGGTTTGAGATGGTAGCCTTCCCTGCGATTCCGTTCGTCCCATGGTCTGGGCTAGTTAGGCCATTTGTTTATCTAACTGTTGTATATGAGCTTCGGTTCGGTCTTGAAACTTCTCTTGAGATAGTGCCAACTGTTCGACAATGGACTCCAATGATGATGTTGATGGTTGGTATGACTGATGTGGTGGTGCCTTGGTTGATATACTTGATTTGGTCTAGGATTTTGTGCATAGCTAAAGTTTGGATGATCCCTCCACCCTGGATTATGGGTATTAACGCGAGGATTGTAAGGTCTCTGGGGAGGTCCTGGAAAATTGCCAACTGTATTTCTTTGTGTGGTACTCTCTTCTTGTAAAATCGTACAACATTCCGTGGGATGGTCCAACTTTGTGCATATGTCGCAAAGTCTAGCGTAACTGTTTTGCCTGCAACAAGAGATTGAACAATGTCAGTCAATTTATCAATTTTATTTTCCAAACTATTGAGAGTTAGCGGTCATAGTAGAAATTAGATTCCTGACCTCATGCAGAGTCATATTCACAAGTGTTCATCCACTAGTTGCGTCAATCATCTTCATCTCAAAAGGAAGCAAGTCTTCATAAAAGTATTGGATGAGATTTTGTTCGATTAACCCATGTTGTGGAAAACTAGCACAATGTTTCTTGAATCGTTACCAATAGATGTATAAGACTCTCCATCCTTTTGTCGGATTCCTAAGATGTTTCGCCTTAATTCACTCTCCTTTGCCGCAGGGAAGAACCTGTTAAGAAAAAGATGAGTCATGTCAGCCCAAGTATTAACAAAATTAGACGGTAAGTAAAATAACCAATCCTTAGCCAAATCAGCCAAGGAAAAAAGAAAAGCACAAAGTTTAATCTGATCATTAGATACTCCCTGTGGTTTCATGCTAGAGCAAACCATATGAAATTCAGTAACGTGTTGTGAGGATTTTCACTCGGCAATCCATGAAAAGTAGGTAGAAGATGGATCAAGTCGGTCTTGAGTTCAAATGGTGTTTCTCTATTGGGAATACGATGCATAATGGTTGTTGTTCGACAGGTGTCGCGACTAATTCACGAATCTCATATTAGCCATAGTCTTCGGGCGTATGCTTCGATCTCAGGTTCAAATTTTACTAATTCACCCAGATTTTTTCTTTTTATAAATTAAAACAAACAATATCAGTAATTTGCTGAAGTCCCCAACAATGGTACCAATTTGACAAGCATCGTAATTGTCAAATAAATAAACATAATTCTCAATTTAAATAAATAAAATAAAATAAATAGAATAGTATAGTGAGATAAGGTTGATCCATAGGGACAAGGAATTTCCAATTAAATCTTATTTGATCTCTAACTAGAAAATTTGTAAAATAAAATAAAAGGGGGTTTATCGAATTTAATTGAATAAAATAAAATTAAATAAAAATAACAAAGCAATAAAAATAATAATTGAAAGAAATAATGATAGGAGATAGCCTCTAGCTCGCTTTGACTTGACTCGTCGTGGTAGAGCTTTTGTGGAGTTTAGCAAGGCTGGATGGGCTGTAAAATTCTGCAGCGTTTTGTGGAATTTAACATGGTTGGCAGAACAAGGTTGTTCGTTAGTATTGAATATTTTATCTGTTTCTCGAAAGCGTGGTCTTCTTTTGAGTGCTCTATGTTCATTATTATTGTTTCGATCTGGGTTAGGCTCTTTTAGTTGTTTTGCTTTGTCCTTAGGTGTTTGGTGTTCTTTTGCTCGAGTATGTATCTTTGAACGTTGATGTTCCTTTGCGCATCCACTTTGTTAAGTGGTTTGCTCTCTTTTAAATTAATAATAATCAACTTGCTTTGCGGGGGAAAAAAATAAGACCTTCAAGCTTAAAGATCTTGGATATTTACACTAGTTTTTAGGTATTGAAGTTCATCGTAAGAAGGACGGGTTGTTTCTAAATCTGACGAAATACATTGAAGATTTTCTTGAAAAGCATGGTTTAGAAAAAGCACCAAGTTTGCGAACACCAATGGTGAGCGGGTGCAAGTTATCAGCCAATGATGGCAGTCCGATTCAACAACTAATAGAATATCAAAGTATAGCAGGTGTACTACAGTACATAATAATCACTCGACCAAAAATTGCATTTACAGTAAACCGAGTTTGTCAGTTCATGCAATCTCGTTTAGACCTTGGCTTCAATGCAATAAAGAGGATTCTATGTTACTTACAAGGGACAAGTACTATAGTTTAAAGTTTACGAACAATTCTCGCTTGTTTATAACAGTGTTTGCTGATGCAAGTTGGGGCTCAAATGTTAATGATAGATAATCTACTACTGGATATTGTATGTATTTCGGAGGTAATCCTGTAGCTTGGGGATCTAGAAAGTAGTAGGTCGTTTCTAGATCTACAACTGAAACCGAATATCGAAGTGTTGTTTGTGCTGCAACTAAAATTTTATGGCTACAATTTCTGTTGAATGAACTTCATATGAGTCCTAATGGTAAGCTCATATTATGGTGCGATAATTCGAGTGCGGTGGCTATCTCATCAAATCCAGTTTTACATTCAAATTTTAAACATGTAGAGTTGCATCTATTCTTTGTTCGTGAGAACGTTGTGCCAGAGAAAATGATGGTGAATGCATGTGAACAAGTTGCTGACATCATGACTAAACCATTGTCTGCACCAAATTTTTGTCGGTTTCTAAGCAAGCTGTCTGTTCTACCAATGGTGTCAGCGTCTTCAAAGATAGGAGTTGATCAAGGAAGTAGCTACAAGAAGCAGAAAGCAGGGTGAATGTTATGAGTATAGGGTTATTGGTCAATGCTTTTAGTGTCTCACAATTCAGTTAGGTCAATTAGAAAACAGTTTGAGCCATCTTTTATTAGAGTCCTTAAGATACCTTAAGATTTGCTCAACAGCTTACCAGTGTGCAGTGCAATGAGTATTCATATACTAACCTTATTCACAACATATGACATATCTGGACGAGTAAGACACACGTATTGAAGGCCTCCAACAATACTCCTGTATAGGTGAATATCAGCAAAAGGATCAACATATGACATATCTGTCTGTGCCAAAATATGAATGTTCTCAGTTTTAAAATGAAATTATATCTTGACTTCTAATTTGTTTGATTTAATTACTCTTTAAGATCTTTTAATTTTAAAATTAATTATAACTTTTTTAAATTTTATAGTTTACTTCATTTTACGGACCCTATTTATTTCAAAATTAAACAACTTTTCTCCCTCATAATTTAATCCCGATTCCGTCTTTGATTATTTACAAACAATTAAATCATGATAAATATGATCAAAATGACTAACTGCCTAAACAATTAAAGTTCACCAAACTTACCAAACCTATAATAAATAACTAAATATATTTTTAGCACATACGAAAAAGACCTGCCAATAATCAACGGAGATTGGTTTAAGTGATAAGCAGCTTAATATTGTTTAAGCAATGTCTCGAGTTCGAATCATTATGTATGCAGAAAATTCTCGCTATGAGATTCACTCACTAAAATCAGATGTACGACTCGAGTCAATCCAGATTAATCAGGACAAAACCCTAAAACCTAGAAAAGCAAACAAAAAAAACTGCCAAAACAAAAGGCAATGGAGAAGACAACCATAATAAAGACAAATCACACGGATTTAAAACGAAGCTCAATAAATTTGATTTATTGATTCTTGTTTCTTTTTTCATAAAGATATACTTTCATAGTTTGGTAGCATTAAGTTGCTTTCGAGAATAAGATTTTCAAGAATAAAATTTCTATAATGTAACATTATTTGATTGATTAACGAAAATATTATATTGTCTTATTTGGTTTATTTGATAGAAATATAAGATTATATGGAAATAAATTTTATTAAATTATTCATGTGATATATATATTTTTTAACGATTTAAATTTTTAATATTAAATTAAAAATATTTCCATTTCATAAAATTATTTTTATACATCTAAATTTACAAAAAAAAATATTTAACATATTATTAATATAATTAGTACATAAAATATTATTTAAAAAGTTTACATAAGTAAATATATTATATTTTATTTTTATCACAAACTATAATAGACCTTTAAATTACTTAGATGATGATTAAGCTTTTCAACGAGTGCTAATAATAATATTGTTTTCTCAACTTCTGGGAAACTCGTAAGGAAGGTAATCTTGAATATTTGAGTTTTAACATGTTAAAAAATAGTGACACAATCAAATATTCTCGATCAAATTTACATTATGAGCTAGATATTTAGATAATATGGTAAAAAAATAATATTAGAGACACAATAAACACAATATTAATAAAAACACATTAAATAGTAGAATACTATTTAAATATGTATAATATTTTTAAATATTAAACTAATATGAAATAATTTTTTTTAATAAATCATAGCCCAAAATAATTAGTTATCTAATTAAAAATATATGCAAAAAAATCAATATGAAGAAAACTTATTATTTCAGGAATTTTTTTCCAAAATGATAAGAATTGACAAATACCTAATGAATGGACGAGAATGAAATCATAAACCCCAAGTTTAATCTTCTATGAGGTTGCTTATTATGTAATCTCATGTTTCTCTTCCAACTTCTTCCAAGGCTTTGCGTGATAAGTTTTCGGTATGTAAATATTATGAAAATTTCAAATTCTCGTATAATGTAGATAATTTCTTTGTACTTTCTACTCATAATATATTTTGGTTACCCTAAAATAAAATTCTGCGATCCCATGTTTCTTACATATGCTAGAGTATAGGAAAGTGAGTGTACGTGGATGAAGTACTTGAGTTTCCTCGAGACTTTTGGCATCAATGGCTTGGGATAAATTTACTTTATTTTATTGTTTTTCTTACATTAAATTCATGTGAAATTCTGACGTGTCTTGTCCTAGAGAATATTATTTGAAAATGGTCGCACAAGATCAATTTGTTTTGTATTGTTGATTTGAATATTGGACTAATGAGTTTTAGATTGTTCGTTTGACAATTTTTTTCTTTCTGGGATTCAATTTCAGCAACAATGGTGACCAGAAGGGTAAATCTTCGATCCGATACGGTAACAAAACCAACAGAGGCAATGAGGGCAGCAATGGCCACAGCTGAAGTCGATGACGATGTTTTGGGAGTTGATCCAACCGTATTCTGGTTAGAATCGGAAGTCGCGAAGATAATCGGCAAGGAAGCCGCTCTATTCGTCTCATCAGGCACCATGGGTAACCTCATAAGTGTTCTTGTTCATTGTGACATAAGAGGAAGTGAAGTCATACTCGGAGACGATTCCCATATCCATATTTACGAGAACGGTGGTATTTCAACGATCGGAGGTGTACATCCGAGGCCGGTGAAGAACAACGAAGATGGAACAATGGACATCGATTCGGTTGAAGCTGCGATTAGAGACCCGAGAGGAGAGCTTCTGTACACAACTACTAGGCTCATTTGCTTGGAAAATGCACATGCCAAGTAAGAATCTTTATTTCTTATGCAAATTTTTTTCAGCCTATTGGACAATGTTATTACATTTAATATTCTGCAGCACTGGAGGTAGATGCTTGTCTGTGGAATATACTGACAGAGTCGGCGAGCTCGCTAAGAAGAACGGTTTAAATCTTCACATCGACGGGGCTCGAATTTTCAATGCCTCGGTCGTGCGTAAAACGTTTTTATATTTACAGTACATTATATCTTCTTGCTCAGTTGGTAGAGCTCAAAGCTCTTTAACCTTATGATCTTGGGATCGAGTCCCACTAAAGGCAATTCATAACGGAGGTATTTCACTGAAGCTGTTCTTAACCTAACGTTGGGGGCAGCTTATTATCCTATCTCCCTTTACCCCATTACATATGGAATAGGGTCAGCTAATTTTTTTTATATCTATTTGCAATTGTATGCCCTGCAAATCTATCACCAATATGAAGATTCATACAAGGAAATTTGTTCCCTTGACATAGTGTAAGTGTTCGTCTGGCAGGCACTTGGAGTTCCTGTTAACAGGCTCGTACAAACCGCGGATTCAATCTTGGTATGCTCTTTGAGTAAACATCGTTATTTATTTCAGCATCGGCATCTTTTAACGATACCGATAAATTTACTCTATTCTGAGCTCTATATGCAGCTCGAACCAAGTAAAAACATCTGAAGATTCCCCCACTTTTTTAAGTGTTATTTCTAGTAACATAGAGCTGAAAGTCTAGGGGGCTCAATAAGAATGACAGTATATACCAGACATAGAAATTCGACGGTAAATACCAGACCAAGTACTCGACATTATTAGTAAAATGTGGATTCCGAACCGAGCTAGCATGCGTTCACGTTTACTGCAATTATACAGCTTGATATGGTAGGGTAATGGTGGTGTTTTTGATCATTCAGGATCAGAATTGTCCTCCACCATCAAATTTCATCAAGTGATGTGCAATACACTTTGTCATGCTTTCAGGTGATCAAACATCAACTATTAAGTTTCTTGCCTATTAAGGAACTTCAAATGAACTTATAATGTCCTTTGCATATTGCAGCAAGCTTTCTCTGGAGGCAAGAAGAAAACGGAAACCGATACTCTAACTATTCGATAACGTCATTTCTGGATATGTCAACGGAACCCCTCGAACTCGGAATGCGATCGATCGGATTATATAACAAATTATGCAATATCATCTGTGAAGCTTTAGGTTACATCATAGTCTCCTCTATATCTTATTTAAACTTTGTTCAACCTTGACAAACTACTTTGAAGTGACTTCTTAGGTCAGTCCTGTAACTTTTTCCATCTTAAAAAGTTGACTTTTGGTGTGCTCAGTGTAAATCTCGGTCCATTCTGAATCCTTTACAATGCAGCAGAGTGGCATATTCATCGATTGCGGATACCACGTCTTCTTGGTTGAATTGTCTTGTAGATTGTCTCCCTGACCATAGTCAGACCTCTGCGTTTTTCACCTCTTGTATTATAATCACTTTGTATTACAATCACTTTTTTCACCACATGCTTATTATTCCTACCCGGACATGATCTCTATCCCACATGTTAATTTTGAACATGTCTCAATTGCATATTTTTCTAGTTCACATGCTTTGAACATAAAGTCAAGCATGAAATAATCTCAAAACAGCCTAGGGTTTGAAACGAGGTTTTAGGGTGGGTTCTAATTCCCTGTAGTCTCCCGGTTTAGGTTTTAAATAAGGTACCCGAGTTCTCCTTGCCGGTGTCCCCTTGGGCTTGCCATACCCTTAGTCCTAAGCCCATTACAAGCTTACGTGGACTGAGTTAAACTCGAGAGGATACATTCCCTTATGCCTATGCGGTGAATAAATTCACACGAAGACATAAGGTATATGAATCCCGAAGGTTACTTGCTAAGCCCGCACGGAGAATAAATTATCATGAAGGCGTCGCTTTCACCCCCACTTAAAAAGGGTTCGAAGCTTAGGTATATATCCAGAGATGAAAACTTTTTCAAAAAATCTAAAATTATTGAAAAAAACGTCAGTACAACTATTTATTTGAAAAATAATCAAAGATAAATAATTAGAATCGAATAAATAAATTTAAATTTATTATTTTCGCTTAAAAAAGACAACCGAAAATTAATTCTGGCCTGACTCACTTACTTATCCCTAGCAGAGTCGCCAAGCTGTCGCGGTCGCCTTTCGGGTGGGCCCGAAATTGAGCTTCGACTTGAATAAAAACATTAGAGTCGTCACCGATCATTTTAAAAATATTTAGGTTGATCGGACATCATCTTACTTGATATGCATTTTACCATAAATATATCAGGAGTCAGTTACAGTCAAAAAATAATTAACACCCTTGTAATGCTCTTTCGGTACCAATTAACTTATCGGTTGTCTTAATCATGAAAATTAGAATTTAAATTAAAATTTAAAAACCCGATTCGAATTTCTTACCTTTGGTTGATTGAAATTACTACTGGAAAAAAAGGTCAAAAATATGTTAGATAGTAAAATAAAAGAAATATCGAATAAAGATTAATTAAATAATAAAAAAAGAATATTAAATTTTAAAATATTATATAAATTTTAAAAGAAAAACAAAAGAAAAGAAAAAAAGATTAAATTTTAGAGAAAAAATAAGATATAAAAAACAAAATGAAAAAAAAGGTGGGAAAATGAAAAAAAATAAAACAAAAAAATGTTAAACTTTAAAGAAAATACAAGTAAGGGAAAAAATATAAAGGGTAAAATTGAAATGAATTAAAATTCATGAATCAAATTAATTCTGAAAAATGAGTTGCAAGAGAAAAATAAAAGGTTAGGGGCAAAAATAGAAAGTTGAAGGACTAAGATGGTATTAACAGAAAATAAAAGGACTAAACAATTATTTCAAAATAAACCAGAGCTAAAATCACAAACATTAAATAGTACAGGTACTAGAAACGCAAATAAGCCATTAACAATGTTTAGGACTAAAATAAAATAAAATAAAACATAAATGCTAAATTCAAGATTTAAATAAAAATGAGAAATAGTGACCAAAATTAAAGATTAATAAATATGATGCATGAAATACAATATAAATAAAACACAATATGTAACCATAATATGAATATATAAAACACGAAAGCCCCCAATGTTTAGTTTACCCACGCTGAAAATACACATAAGGTCCCTAGTGAAACGATGTCGTTTTATTGTTGATATATAAGCCCGATCAAAGGGCTTATTTGTTCTCATTTTCTCATTTGCTTCTTTTTCATCAACGAGAGGGCTGAGGGAGTTTGAGAATTCTCTCAACTCCCTCATCAGAGAAGCAAGAGACCCTCACCGTCGGTGGTAGCCAAGACGGCTCACGGCGGAGCCCGGAGAAAAAAATATCCCCAAAATGCTCCTCTTTCCTTTCCCAACCCGAAAACCAAATTAGTTTCACCTAAATACCGCCCTAGACTCGTAGATCTAGGAAATACCTTTCGAAAAAAAACCAAGAAACCGGTGACCTTTGGCGTTCCCGATGTTGCTCCGAACCTCGGTAAGCTTCTCCTCTCCTCTTCTCTATTTTCTTTCTTTTTGGTTTTGTTCTTTGTATTTCACTTGTTATTTTTCTCTCTGCTTTTTCTCTGATTTTTTTATCTCCACCTCTTGTTGGCTGTGTTGCACGAATTTATACACTTACAAACCCGTTATTTTCGACGAGTGTTAGTCTCCTAGTTGGAATAGAAATCTGACTTGCTTTTTTGTTTTTTTGTCTTGGTTATTGTGAACCGGATATCTCGAAGTGGTGGGTGGTGGCACCTGAAATGAGGACTCTCCAAGAGTCCTCCGTATGCCAGACATTCTGCTCGTGCGGTGCTGAACTGAAACTCTAGCTCCAGCAGGGTCTTGAAACACCGGCTTGGTAGGATTGCGGGTTGGCCTCGAACAGAAAAGTGTCTACATAGCCAAAAGATAATTTTATAACTTTTAATAATCGAGGAACTCAATAATATAGCGACCAATAATCAAAGAACCATTTGTATACTTTATCGAAAATATTTTTTTGAATAGAAGCCGCTTTTTATTAAAAAGTGAAAATATAAAAAACTACAGTAAATGTTAAACTAAATACAAAATTTGGACATTCTTCATACATGAAAAATGTTAAAAACTCAACTAAAGGCTCTAACAAGAAATAGATACGAATAAATCTGAATGTATCAACAAACAAACCACAAAAGAAGATTAAACTATTGAAAGACTATCGAGAACCGCATATCAAAATCGAGTGTTGTGAGAAATTATTCACGAACACAAAATTATATATCCAAATTCAATCCTACAATCCATAACAGAGAAGAATAATATGATTATAAATAAATATCATCTTGATAAGTTTTAACATTGTGAATCAAACCCTAAATAATATAAAACAAAAAGAATATTTTGAGGAATATTAACCTCAAATGAGAGTTAAATCTTAACTTATCTAAATAATATTATAATTATATTAATATGAATCAATATATAAATGAATTGGATGCCAAAAATTTTGAGGAAAAAGACGAATCTTTATTTATCTATCATCATTACATAGTAGGGATAACACGCGCTTAAGAAAGGAGAGTTGAAAGGCTGAAATGTTTGGGGTACAGCCCTTGGGTCACAATCACCTCTGCCAAACTTGTCCTATTTTTGGCAAAACAGTATCCTTTTATTTATTTTTACTCGCAATCAGCTCATTTAGTAGAGCATAATATTCTTAATCTTAATATTTTGAGATTAAATTTTACGAAGGATATTTAATAATTCGAAAATATTCTACGAAAATTAATTTAAATCTGATATTAGAGATAACTTATTATCTTATCTCCTTTTACCTATTACATATAAAAATAAAAGACAAACATTTACTTACAACTACACATTAACCACGGGTTTCTGGATAAATATGAATTACGGCAGCTTTAACATACAAATATTATTATTTTTATTGATTTTATGATTATTAAACGTTTTACTAGTTTTGTTAATATATTTAATAAAGTGTTATTTAAAATATTAATTTTTTATTAATTTTTTTATAATTTTTATTAGAAATATATTTTTATCTTTTTTAAAAAAAATTATAAGATATTTTTTTCTTAAAATTTTATATTTTTGTCCCGTCTAATATGAAATTCTATATCCGTCGAGTCTCTGCTATATCTTTCCCATCTCTTGACCCATTGGATAATCTCCCTCTCTCTCTCTCTTACTTTATCAACAGTGTTTTAACTTCAGTTTGATTTCCCTTTTTCTGTGAAAGCCGATCATCTGTTATCTCCTTTTCATAGTTCATATACTACAAGAATTGCTAGTTTATTTGTGTGATCGTCAGCTTCAAACTCTCTTTGATTCTTAAATTTTACCAAATTTTCTCTTCAAGAAGAAAACCCTTTTTATTATTATCATGGAAGCCATGCAAGATCTTGCATTTCATCGTTTCTTTGTGTTATCATCATAGTCTCCAATAAACCTGTAAATGAACACTCTTCATCACTTCTCTTTTTCTCCAATTATCGCTCTCTGCAAAGAAAAAAAGTAGCGGTTCATTCTCTTGTTATAGAAGAATGAAGTGAAAACCCTAAAGAGTTCATCGAAACAACAATCCAAGATTTATCTGTTTCTCTCTGTGATAATGGATTTGGTTTCACAAAACAATCCGAATGAATATCCAAGTACTCGGATAGTAAGCTCAAGCACCATAGCAACTACAGCTACCACTAATGCAACACCAACTCTACCGCCATCGACGACCACTCCGAGCCGCTACGAGAACCAAAAGCGCCGGGACTGGAACACTTTCTGCCAGTACCTGCGAAACCATAGGCCTCCGCTGTCACTTTCAATGTCTAGCGCTGTCCATGTCCTCGAGTTCCTTCTCTATCTCGATCAATTCGGCAAGACCAAAATTCATAACAACACTTGCCCTTTCTTTGGCCTCCCTAATCCGCCGGCTCCTTGCCCCTGTCCTCTCAGACAAGCTTGGGGTAGCCTCGATGCACTCATCGGCCGACTCCGTGCTGCTTACGAGGAGCACGGAGGTAAGCCGGAAGTGAACCCTTTTGGAGCTAGAGCTGTGAGGATTTATTTGAGGGAAGTCAGGGATTTCCAGGCCAAATCTCGAGGGGTTAGCTACGAGAAGAAAAGGAAGAGGCCTAAGCAGAAGGTACCAACTGTCCCATCAGCACAACAATCATCATCTTCTCCAACACCACGAACACTTGCTGCTGGTGCCACTGCTGCAAGTGAGTTAACAAAGAAACTTAACATCATGGTGAAAATTATCAGTACTTGTTAATTTCATGCAATTTCCCCCCATATTTGAGCTTCTATCCTCTCTGTATTTTTTTATTTTGCTTTGAAAAGTGGGTACCCTTCAATTTGCCCTTTAGGTGGACAGTTTGTAATAGTTTAGTGACAGCATGACCAGTTACTGGGAAGCAGAGGTAACCTGGGAATCAATAGTACCAAAAAGAAAATGATGGCAACAAGATCTTACTATATTTAGTAGGAAAAAATTTCTTATTTAACTTAATTAGTTCTTGCAATTCCATCACAATTGTTTATTTTTGGCTTGATGCTAATGAGAAACTTTTTTTTTCTTATAGCAAATACTATGTAATGGAAGGACAAGGGTGCTTTTGCAATCAGCAAATTGTCTGGATGATATGTTTTTAGTGGGTTTTTGTTTTTTTTAAGGTATTTCTCTCTTTCTACTTCATGGGTGGATCATATTTCAATGGCTTATATAATTTATCAAAACATAATATATCTATATAATTTGATGGTATAAGCCAATGCAACTGATAGTGGATATATATTTATGTCCTCTATGCTTTTTTCCATGTATTAGTATGGAAATATATTTGTATATTTTTCTCTTTCTCATTATCAATAATAAATTATTATTGAGAGTAACATGTACAAACTTTAAATATAAATTATAAAATAAACATAAAAAATAAGGACCAAAAAATTTATTCGACAAATTTGATCAGATAATGTTTTAGGAAAAATGATTTTCTCATATAAGGTGTTAGGGTGATTGTTTTCTCATCTAGAGTGAATGCTACAATGCTCCATAGAAGTTACCCGCCCAGAAGATCGATGTCTTCAGTGTCGTCTCGGAAGATACAGTTTCACTAGCATACATGGAGCTTAGAGAAGACAATGTATCTTCTAGGTGTCTTCTGGAAGTCGTCGTGTCTTCTGAACGTCTTCTATGAATGACTGTATCATTCACCCTAGATGAGAAAATAATCACCCTAATATCTTATATGAAAAAATCATTGTACAAAACATTATCTGATCAGTTTTGCCAAATTTACTCAAATCATTAAAAATGTTTCTATTGGCTTGTTCATAGTGTGGGCCAAGATATTAGTGTTAATGGGAGAAATGAGATTGTAGCGATTTTTCCTGGTTCATTTTTTTTTATTTGAGTGGAGAATCATGGTCAGTGGATTTGTAGAGGAAGTAGAGAGTCAAGCTTAGGGAGATGAAGAATTGTTAGATATCAGAAGAGTGTCCTCTTCTCCAGCCTTATATATTGGCCCTTAATGTTGGTATTAGGCCTAATGTCATGAAGATTATTTATAAATTGACAGATTAAATAGATCTAATTGACAGATAGTAGATTCAATTGGTAGATCATATAGATCAGTCAGTAATCGTGTCAAAGAATTGTAGTTACATGAATATAGAACTTAAAATTAATTAGGAATTCTAAAAATTCTTATAGACAAAATTGACGGATAAAAATCCAATTCATTAACAAATTTTATAAGTTTATACAAATATCATATTAAAGATACATATTAAATAAACTAAGGGTCTGTTTAATTGGGGGGAAACCAATTCCGTAATTGGTTCTCCCGAAATCTCGTGTTTGTTTCACGTAATTCGTTTTCTGTAAAATATTTTTCAGTGTTTGGTTAGAGGAAAACGTGTTGGTCAACATAAAACATTTTTCTGATCAACAGAATTTCCTTTGTGTTTTTTGAAAAATGACTTACGGTCTAATTTTTCGTAATTCATTTTTCGAACTTTTCACTTCAAAGAATAAATACTCAAAATAATTTTATTTTATGAATTTAATATTAATAAATTATTTTAATATCATTTTAATCAAAATATTAATTATTTAAATATTTAAAATATATTTATTAATATTTCTAATAATATAATATTATATTTTTAATATTATAATAAAATAATCAATTATATTATAATAATATTAGATATTATTTTTTATTTTAATAATATATAATAAATTATTAATAAAAATTATATTATTTATTAATCTCATAGAAATAATATTATTAAATTATTAATAATGAATAATATTATTTATATATTTAATATTAATATAATAGTCTAATAATATTTTAATAAAGATATTTAAAATATACTAATTAATATTTTTAAAATATAATATAACACTATTACTTTAATAAATAATTAATATAGTTTATAATATTTTTATTTCAATAAAATATACCAATGTTAATATTTTTATTAATAAAATTATAAAAATAATATTTAATAATAAATAAATTATTTTAATATTTTAAAAAAAATAATATTAAGTTTTATGATAAATAATAATATTTATTGTATTTAATATTTGTAATAAATAATTTTTAAAAAACTCATCAACTAATGGAAAAAAATGTTTAAACAAAATATTCCAAACATCGTAAAAATTTTTTCAGAAAAATGTAATTCATTTTACCGAAAACGTTTTCTGGAAATGTAATTCATTTTCTAGAATTCAAATTCCAATAATTCATTTTCCACAATTCAATTTCCAGAAAACCAATTACAGCCAAACAAACAGACCATAATATGTAGTCTTAAAATCATTTAAGAATACACTATTATCAATATATTACTTTCACTAAATTTAGGGGAAAAAAGAAAGCAATAAAGTAATTATTTCGATAGAAAAATAAAAATAAAAAAGCATCATAATTATCAATGCCATTAGACACCAATTAACAATCTTTTTATATAATTAAAATATTATATCAATTAGATCTATTCTAAGGCAAAAAGACAAAGCCTAAATTCATCTTTTCTATTATTGGCGACAGCTAAAACAAAACACATACTCACATGTCATAAAAATGTTAGGTTTAGACAAAATTTTGAGCCAATATAAAGCAGATGAAATAATGGAGGTTTGAAGCCTAATCAAAGGGCTATATGTTAATCCACTTGGGCAGACAACTTTTTGAACATTATTTAAGGATAATACTTGTTTAATACTAGCCTCAAGTTTTGATTGTCTTTTATCTTATGTTATATTGATGGACTATATGAAAAGTTACACTCTTCAAAGAAAATATTAACAAATGCTCTATATGCTAATTAGTAATTATCACGTTCATATTTGAGTTTGAGTAACATTATATACATCAGATTTTGTATATATATATATATATTGATTATAAAATGTGGGTTGCAACGATTATAGGCTATTTATCTTTTATGATTTAAACGGAGAGTCACAATCAATGATTCGAGTGATTAGTCATAGATGATGAGAGATGTGTCACTCTGAGGGAGATAGAGTCCCCTTTCTCAGTCTTACAAAACGAGTTTATATTACGACCCTTAGTGCTAGTGCTACCATGCATGGCGGGAGAAGTGTCGAAGACTCTTTTCTTTCCCTCATCCTTACATTGCTCGTCTTTTTGAGCTTGTCACTCTACATAAAACCATCTATCGCGGGTCTTTCCATAAAAACTAAAGGGATAAATCGTCTACTGTTGTTGCAACCTAAATTTTACCATCAACAATATCTAACCTCATAAGGTTGTTCTAGAAAGGTTTAAACACTTTCTATTTTAGGATATATATATATATATATTAAGAAACCTAACATAAAACTTCTAATTTTACATATTTTTAGACTCATTTGGTAAATGGAAATAAACAGCTGTTATTTCTGCCGGTGAAACTATTTTCTTTGCTTTGAAAAACTCGTGCATTTTCCAATCAAGAAAATGGTGGACCATATAAACTGCATGCATGCATGCATGTACCAACTTGATTAGTCATATATGCATGCATATATAAAAGGAAGTGTACGTATACATTTGAGTGATTTCAAATGATTCTGCGTCAATTAAAACGTTTTTCAGTGATTCTGTGCAGTGTATAAGATAATGATTCTTGACAATGAAATGAAGCAATCTTATTTGGGAATCTCTCTTTTACTATTTTGGAAAGGAAGGAAGCAAAAATGAAATTGAATTGTTCTTTACCATTCAATGCTTGCATGACTTTCCAGGCCACAAGCTTGAATTTTTGGCAGTAGTTAGCTTCTTCATAAATCGACAAGGGATTGTCGCACGTGAAAAATATTTGCTCATTGGATTAATTAGGGACTAATTTATGATTTTATATTACGAAAATAAATTTATAAAATTTTAAGGGATGATGAAATTATAAAATTTTAAAGGATAAAAATAAAATTGTAATAAAAATTAAAAAAATCTAAATATATTAAAATTTAAATTTATTTCATGGGATGACAACCCTCGTCCCGACTCCCTTTTCCCATCCCTAGAATTAACCAAATAAATGTTTTCATTGACTAATTTGAAGTTTAACATGTCTCAAGTCGTATCATGCAAAATTTAATCTAAAATATGTCAGTATAATTATAAATTTATATTTTAAAAATATCGATTTAATTAATTTATAAGTACATATAATTTATATTAATGTGAAATCTTAATAATGGTAAAAAAAATTCACATTTTTTTTAAAAATAAAGAGAATTAATAATTTTCTTTTTTTCAAATTTTGGAGGGTTGTAATCCCACCGATCCTCATTCAATTCTGTCTCTGATTTCGATACTTAAATACTTATTTACAGACACCGGCGGAATCAGTATATTTCTATGGGTATCAATTGACACCCAAAAGTTTCTTAAAATATTCTATCTATCTATTTATATATATATATATATATATAAAAGAAATGACACCATTTTTATAAATATTTTGACACTACTTTTTAATTTTTTTAATAATTTCTAAATTTAACGCTCCAAATTAAAATTTCTAATTCCGCTCATGTATATAGAAATCATTGAATGATTTCAGTGATATTAGAGAATGTTGTTTTCTTTAAAAGATTCGAGTCATAAGTGTGATTTCAGTGATATTAAAATTTAAATTTAGAGATAAATCGATCTCTCTCAGGTAATTGATCTCTCTCATCACTCTCTGAAAAGTTTTCTCTCAAGGGTTTCCATGCGAGGCGGTGGCCGCCTCCCCCACATTCATATTTGTTGTTTCACGCTCTCCTTTGACCGCTCCTCTCTAGATTTCATAAGCTTATCTTAGTGCTGTCGAATCCTTTTATGTTCTTTGTTTAAGTGATTAATCGGCCTTGCTTTGGTGTTTTTGGGATTAGGTTTCTTTGGCTTTTGTCCCTTAATTTGCTACTCGTTTGGTTGGGTGTTCTCTTCTTGTTTGGTGAGGTCGTTTCTTTTCTCTTCCAGTTGTGTTTTCCCCTGATTCTTTTTATTTGAGGTTTCATGTTTGTGTTCTGACTTGCTTCTGTCTTTAGTTTCATAGTTTTTGAATTTCTGAGTGGGCTTCTAATCCGTTTTCGGGAGTCAGGTCGTGATGGCTATATCTGTAAGCAAGTTGTTTGTGGTAATGTCATAGTGTTACAGTCTATTGCCCATTTAGAATATTCTGTATGAGTGAGAGTGTTTAGGCCCTCCTTCGGTTTTTGCTTCGGTGTTTATGGCTAATCTTTCATTCTCTTTTCGTGGGTTAGG